GTCAAGTTACCAATCTCCTTAGCTTAATCTTTACAAACTAAGTTCCCAAGTCTACAAAACAGTTCCTCAGCATTACTGGCAGCTTTGGCAGGAACTCATGACTTCCTAGGAACTCATCTCTCTGAATTCCTTATTGAAGTAAAATCAATGTTAATCTAGGAACATGGACTCAATGTCACTTGCCCAGTGCTTTACTTGAAGTGAGAAATAAACAATAGTCCATTTCAGGGCTTTGTTGAGTCTTTAGCAAACAACATTATTCCTTTTACAGTGTGCTTTCTTGCGCTATCTTTATGCCTGAAGGCTTCCCATGCTGGATGAGTTTTTGTTAGAAGGAAGTCTATAATACATAATAAAAAGCTTGCAGACATATATGTGTATACCTAAGTTTAAACTAAAGTATAGAAAAATTCTCACATAAACCACAGTGATCATTATTTACAAAGTGAACAAAAAAATTCACTTCCTCTTCTTGCTCTTGATAAAAACTGTCTTCTCTATGAGGCTCCTATCACTTAAATAAGCCTTGAAGCTGGTGATTTCCCATTTTAAACACATGGCATGTGAGGATATAAAGGATGTTGCAATCCAATTGTAAGACGTTAAATGAGGTATAGAAGGAATATACCTCAACACAATTAAGGCCAGACATGTAAGTATGTCAAAGTCACAGTTAACATCATACTGAACGGGAGAAGCTGAAAGCTTTACCTCTGGAATGGAAACAAGATAGGATTTCCCTCTAACTATGCTTGTTCGATGTAGTACTGGAAGTCCCAGTGGGAGAAATAAAAAACAGATAAGCAAAGGGCGTGAACATTTGAAAACAGAAAGTCGAATTGTCTCTGTTTTCAGATAACATGATCTTATATGTAGTAACATGTGAAGACTTTACTAAAAAATTCATAAAATTGAATTGAAAATTCGGTATAGTTTCGGGATACAAAACCAACATATAAAAATCAGTGGAGCTTCTAGACAACAACGAACAACCAGCCAAAAAAAGAATTCAAGAAAGCTTTTCATTTATAACTGCTATATAAAAAATACCTAAGAATAAATTTAACCAAGGAGGTGAAAGATCGCTACAAGGAAACTACAAAACACCAATGGAAGAAATTGAGGAAGCCATCAAAAAATGAAAAGACATTTCAAATTCAAAGACTGAAAGAACGGATATTATTAAAATGACCATACTACCTAAAGAGATCTATAAATTCAGTGCAATCTCTATCAAAATGTCAATGACATTCTTCACAGAAATAGAACAAAAAAATCCCCAAATTTACATGGAACCACAAAAGACCTCAAATAGCCAAAGCACTCCTCAGCAAAAAGAATGAACGTGAAGGCTCGGCGCCTATAGCTCAACCGGCTAAGGCGCCAGCCACGTACACCTAAGGTGGCGGGTTCGAATCCCCAGCCCGGAC